CTAACAGGACGGAGCCCTTTGTAGAAGATTTTTTAAAACTGTCTCGTATACTAGTTACAAATCGAGCAAACCAAGGAAACGTCATGTAGCCAGCCCGTTCGCGGCATTCTAACCTGAGACAGAACTACCAGTATTCAACGACGCTTCGGCGACTAATAGGCCCGTGCACTTAATTGGAAAGTGCAATTCATTATGTAAACAGACATGAAGGTGATAATCAGTTGTGCACTGTTTTAAGTAATCAAATGTTATAAATGCATTTCTTATTATTTATTAGTCATGTTTTTATTACATAGATCATACATATGATATAATTATGAATTAACCCAATAACAAAATATGTACACTCTTTAGTACTCAAGTACTCATCAATTATTTTTCAACTGATTATTACATACCCATAATAATTTGCAAAGAACTGATAACTATAGTTGCTGCCAATTACATAAAAGTTATCTGAATTAAAAGCAACTTCAAATAAACTTCTTGGCAATGTTCATTTTTGCATTCATACATACATATATATACACATCTAATAAGTCATATATTTATATACAGATAGAGAGATGCGATGGTTTAGAAGTTGTGAATATATATTTATTAGTATTAATGTAATGAATAAGATTTATATTAATGAATGTATATACAAATGTTTTTCATCATGCATAATAATAAATCCATAAATTTCCAATGTTTCAATATGTAGCATTTACAATAAAAGTATAGCTCCTAATGTATTTATAATCCAAAAAGTATTTCATTAATAACATGAAAATAATAGACAAATTTAATGAGTATTCTCATTATTACATAAGCTATGCTTTTCTTTTTTTATGCATCTTTTATGCTGTTTAAAATGTGTCACTGATTATGCAATTAACAATTTAAAAGATAAGTAATTAGGAGAAAAGCCGCGCATATACAAATGGATTTAAAAAAAATATTCAACTTAAATTTAAGAAATAAAATTCTATTATATAACAGTGATAATATACGATCAGCACGAAATACGACAAATTTGGCGAACTTTTAGCGACGAACAATTTGTAAACAAATCCGAACTGCAAGAACGTCGTAAAATACTGTCAATTCTGAAATTTCCACAATTATATATTTAATGAATATATACACATTTAAAAAATGACTCAGGCAGTTGTATTACAACAAAACAGCAATAATTAAATCGGCCTCTATTTCCACTGTCCATGACTTCACAGTGAGAGCCATCGCCATATTGAAAGTTACCCGTGATCCTTCGGAAGCAGAATGTTTGTCTGATTGGTTGAACGTTCGAGGAACACGTCTCCAGCCGGAACATTTTCGGACAAGTTTTAAAATGTTGCTCGCAGCCGGGACATGTTCCTCCTAGCTAGACGAAACATTTCTCGGAAGCTTGCCGCTTAAACCCATGCTACTAGAATCTCGTTTCTCGGAATTGTCCCCGGTAAGCCTTCACGTCCATAGAAGTGATAGGGCCATTCTTTGAATGTAAAAATAGGTGATGCTGATGCATATGTAAGGGTAGATGCCGGCGCCGTAGAAGCATTCGACAAATTGCTTAATCCCTATTTTGTGTCTACTATTGCAATTGTAGTAGTATGTGCAAGAATTGTTATTTTTTGTGATTATTTTTTGGCACTTGGTTATTATTATTATTATACTACATAAAAAAAAAATGTAAGTGAATTTACATTTTACGTTAAACACAGGTTAACTTTTTAATTTGGAAAAGCAACAATTGCAGCATAATTACTCAAAAACTGTTTACCTCTTATGTTTGAACCATTGTCGTGTCCTTGGTGCATAAATTACTAATATCTAAACTATTTTCCTCTAAAGTCTTTAATGAGAATGTTGTTAATACTTCACCGGCCATATCTGCTGTAACACAAAATACTAAAAACCTTTCTTCAATATTCATAACTGTATTTTCTAAATTAAAATACCTCATATAATCTGGTATCTGCTCTTGATGGCTGGTATCAGGAGTATAATCAAGTAATGTAGAAACATACTTTGCTTGTTTGACATTATTTAAAATAATTTGTTTAAAATAATTTGTTTCCTAATTATTTCTAATTAATGAATAAGCTAATTGCTTCATTTTGAATTTCATCTCCAAAGTAATGAAGCATAATTTTTTACTTTGAATTTTATTAATATTATAGACATGATAGGGTCAAATTTTGCAACCATTTCTATACACTTTAAAAATTTTTTGTTTCTTTCGAATAATTTGTTACTGGAACCACGGAAGGCTAAGTTTTGTTTGGCTAAAAACTGAATGGCATAGATAATTCTTTCAATAACATTGGGCCAATGCTTAGTCTCTTTTTCTAATAAATTTTGAAATTCCAAATCAACAGTTTTATTTTTTCGAAAATATTCTAAGAAATAGGACCAAAGTTGGAGATTCCGGAAATGCATTCTATTTTTTCATGAACTTTTAAGTGCTCATTTAAGTGGTTCCAGTCATTAAATTCAGAACTACTCAACTTTACACTGCTGAAATTGTTAAAAATTTTGCAACGAAAACAACAAACAGAATTTGTTTCAGCAGAATTTAGCAACCAATCCCTTTTAACTCTTTCATTGTTTGGCAAGATTCAACAAAAGTACACTTGTTTGGTTCTTCATTATGTTAATAATACTTCATTTTAAGTGTTAACCATTAAGCAGTTTCCTTTAATATTCTCACTGCATAAAGGCGCTCGCTAGACATTTGTGCGACGATGCCAATCAGGCTTGGCGCGGGCCTGACTACTCATTTATCACGAATTGGAAATTCTTTGGCAATATAGGTAAAGACAATTCTACTCAGAAGACACTTAACGCAGGAGTAGCTCAGGGGTCTATTTTAGGGCCCATTTTGTATATATTTTATGTAGTGAATTCCCCACCTGTTTCTAATGATTTAAATGGATTCGTTGGATGCTACGCTGATGACACAGCTTTGGCCCTTAAATCACTTACCTTTGAAAATGCGATAAATAAACTTCAGCTCATTACACCTCAGATAGAGCATTGGTGCACTGTCTGGAGTATATCGATTAACACTCAGAAGTCCTAGTCGCTAGCTTCAAAATTTTCAATGTTGAAGTCCCCACTGTCCAAAAGACTAATTACCTGCGTCACACTCAACAGTAAATTCACAATGCAGTGACATCAATAAGGTTTGTGGAAAAGCTCTCTACTATGAAAAATCTGTTTCCTCTGATCGGTAAATATTCGAACTTTCTAAGAAAGATGCATGTTTTTACTGCAATCATCCAATCAATATTCACTTATGCTTCACCCGCCTGGGCAGCAGTCAACAAAAAAGACATGAATAAATTACAAGTTATTCAAAACAAGTACCTTCGACTTATCACTCAGGCACATTTTTACATATCTAATGTGACTCTACAACCTAAAATTGAATGCGTAGATGAGTTCAACAATCATACGTACAGGAATTTCTTTTCTAAAGCCAAGAATTGCCCGCATTTAAACACCTTCAATTACATAAAACTATCTGAGAATGCAAGCATCAGACCTTAGGTGGCCCACCTCACCCCAGACTCAAATTTCCTGACTTAGAACAAACATGTAGTTATCTGTACTTATGTATATATATTTTGTATTGTATCATATTTTACTCTTACTCTTCAATTTTTAGGCCAAAGGGGCTTTGTCCCTGAAGGACTATTGTTTTTGTTTTGTGATTTTTCGTTGAATCACTATAAATGTCCGTTTCACTTTTCAAACCAAATGTTAAGAGTCCTGCATTATATATGAAGAAATTAAATAATGAAAAATCTGCATAAACATAAGTATATTTCTCACACTGTGATAAAAAAATGGTATATAGAGCCATCGATGATGTAATCCTCCTATGAATATGGGCATGTCGAAGAACAAATATGAAATTTGGATTTTGTTTTATAATCAATTTCATATTAATTCCAATTTCATATAAATTAAAAGCGAGCAATGGGAACACTCTACGGGGGGGGGGGGGGGGAGAGAACCTTTTTATCTCCAGCACACAGAACTGTGTATCAGAAATTCTAAAGATATGCTCATTTAAAAACTATTTTGCGACATTGCTATTGAATTGAATTTTATGGTTTAAGTGCAAACATAATATTTAATAAATAAAGGTAACACACAAAACGTTAAAAAAATGCCTCTTTAAACTTCATTGAAAATCTGAAACCTTTCAGATTTTTTTTTTATATACATTACATTTATTCATAGTTAATAAAATTCTGTGTTTTTATTGCATTTTTCTTATGTATGTTTGATTACATAGCTCGGATTCACTACAACTTGTCAAGCCTCTCCTGGTTTTCTTTTCAACGGTTGGTTTCTTGAACCTTGTGGTTTATGGTCATTCCCCTCTCTTCATCTCAGACCTCCTTTTACTGCACCAGACTCATTACATCATGTGCCTTCATGGCAGAGTTATCACTGAGCTGGCAACATCGCACATATTAGCGATTGCCCGGCAATACTCATATTGATTGATTGATTGATTGCAAGCGTTAACCCATCAATTACATATCTTGAAACAGGTCCACCTGTTTCAAAGAATTTATTTTTATATTAATTATGCAACATTTGCTGATATCCTTCTTTCTAAGAAAATGAAATGAAAAGTCATATATATTTTAAGAAGATTGTCAACCACATTTTATCAGAAATTTACAAAAATAAAACTACAAAGTAAATTAACATCATCCTTAATATTAGTCATGCTAAAATATTTGGGTATACCTACTTTTTATTCACATTACCTTATGGTTCAAGTAAGTGTATATTTATATACATTATTACTATCATGGATATGGATTCAAATAATATATTTTATTCTAAAATATTAGAGGGAAATAAAATTATTTTACCTGGAGAAACTGATATGATTTCAATCTCAAAATGTTTCACTAAATCCTCAAAACCCCATTTTTGAGGGGGGGGAGAAAAAAGTGTAATATTATAAACATACCAATCTGACATACCTGGGTGCATATGCATTGTATTTTGATCTATGAGACCTCCCAGTACTTGGATAAGTACGTCGGCTGGAGTCACTACTTCGTTCACGGCGGGTACCTTCTTCATATAGCTGCCCAACTTCAGTATCTACAGATGTCACATCTTCAACTACTCTCTTCATTACAGCACGCACATTTCTTGGTTCTATGGCATTTAGCCAATCACGAGTTTCCACACTTTTACGAAGCATCTTTTGAAATAGTACAGATTATTTTAGTGAAACATAATTTACTGAAAAATACATTTGGAATAACAAATAACAAAAATTTGTTTCCCATGCACCAAAGTAATTCAGAAACACATAGAATGATTCAGTTTAATAATAGGAATAACTGCATAATTAGTAGCGAGTAAAAGTCTGAATCTAGCTCAAATCAAAGCACATAGAAAAAAGTGACAATGACATAACTCTCACAATACTCTGTAAGTGTGACATTATTTAAACAATCAAGGAAATACTTCCATAAAATTTCAAGTCATACCCTAAATATATTACTGCTCTCCTTGTTCAAACATAGATTTAGACATGATTATCTTTTCCTTTATAGCACAATATGGTAATTCCATTTTTTTAAACATAAGAAAATATCTTTTAGGTTAGTTATTTCAATAAAGACAGAATTGCCAATAGGCAACCCACAGTGATCTGAAAATATGAAACCAGCTATTTGAAAATGGGTTTTCGTCTTTATTCTGCTGTCTGATTATGAATTCACATAAGAATCAAATGAAGTACAAATACCCCAGATGCACTTTGTTTTTACAGAAAATTCTTTAATGTCTGATGTCCTAACACAGTAAGATCCAAGGATGACTGCTACATCAATGTTTAAAAACATGAACTCTTTTATGGAAGAGTGTCACAGTGGCTTGGAAACTGCCAAAATCTCAATTACAAATCATCGATAAAAATTAATATTTAGAGAACAGAATAAGAAACCAGATAATTTCTGTAATAAAGAAAAGTGGCTCTAAAATGCAATTCAATCTTACTGTTTCAATGGCAGAATGACACACAGAATAAGATGCCATATGACCACTTTCTAAGATGTCCTCATTTTAAGACCTAAACTTTCCATCCAGATGGGTTTTCAAATTATGCAAAAAATTCTCAGATTTTAGTTTTCTACCATTTTATAATGCTATTTTGCTTATTAAAATTACATGTGAAGTCTATCAAAAAGGAAGAACTGAAAGGGTGTGTGCACAATGCAGTTAATTCCCCGAATTCTGCTATTTATACAAGAATATATCCTTTTGCAATTTGGCTTTTTTCAAGTTTGCAGATATCCTACAAAATTTTTCATTTTGCATGCAAAATTCCTCATAAGTATTGAATTTCAGTGGTATAAATCCTCTAATTCAATGTCACATTAAGAGACAACACAGATATTAAATTCTAACAGATATTAAATGTTTTCTTTAATGATGAAGAGTTTAAAATGTGACATTCGCAGCTAAACTGAATGAAATTTGAAATTAATCAATGTTCTGAACATCTTTCAAAATTGAAGAAAACTGATGGATTGTTCTTTGCATCTTCTCCTCACTGAGGAAATATTGAGCAAATATGCGTCATTATGCAGCCTCAAAGGAAAGATATGAATTGCTGAGTCTGTTAAGCAATCTTATTCGTGAAATATAATTTCAAAACATGCCACAGAATTCTCCCAGTTACATGGACGAGAACAAAACTTTATTGAAACAAATTTGATCTTTAATGAAGAACAAGAGGCTATAACAACATAAATAACAAGATATGTATTTTTTAAAACAGCCATGCAGCAGAAATGAATGCATGCTTTTCATTTGTTAAAATAACATTACTTTATTACTAATTAGTATTATTTACTTTAAAACGTTACTTTATTATATGCAAATAATAATAAACATTACTTTATTATTCTATTATTGGAATCTATCTTTTCTAATATATAATAGCTTTTCATAAACTTCCTTCCCTACACAGTAGATATGTCATACTCCTATTTACCAGCTAGGGCATAAATTTCACAAGATTAATGTGAGGATCTTTAGGATTAATGAGGGAAAATTTCTTGGTGTGCACACATTTAAAATTTTGTAAGGCATATTTCTTTAACTGTATGAAATAATGAACAGAAAAAATATAGACTCTGGCATTATCAAAAAATTAAATGAAAATAGTTTTAGTGTCCTCTTTTCTAATGATGATATAGTAAGCCTGAAACAGCATCTAACTAAATGCACAAATATTTAACTAAGAACAATACACACACTGGTCAATGAATTTTAACTTTTAATATTTTTCATTTGAATGCATGCTAGGGAAGAAGTATGCAAATATTTTTTATAACGTGGGTTACCTGTGGTTAGAATGCTAGGTAAGGTGTAAGATTTCTTTTCACAATGAATAAAGTAAAATGGGAAGAACAATATTTTTCACCATTTGAAAAAGGGCTTATTGTTGGTCCACATTTAGCAGACGCCTCAATTTTGAAAATAGCAAATCTCACTGGAGGTTCTCAAAAGAAGCCGTATCAAAGGTTTTCAAAAGTTGGAATCAGAACTAACAGTCCTTCCTTAGAAGACATAACTGCAGTTTAAGCAGTTTTCCAAGAGAATAATAGGTGGAGTTTCCAACGAATTGTAAGGCAGAACAGGGAGCCTACTGTGCTTCACCTGACACAGATCGTCAACCAAGGCTCTTCCCAACAGATTTCAGCTTGCACTATGCACAGAGAATTGCAGAGGAAAGGAATACATAGTTGGGTACTAGTGAGAAAAACCACTCATTTCTGCCAGACATATTTATGCAAGAATACATCTACAGTGGTCTCGGGAAAAAAGACACTGGGCATCTGAGGATTGGAAATGGGTAATGTGGTCGGATGAATCATGCTACACCTCATTTTGCTCTAATGGAAGACATCGAATTTGGTGAGAACCCCATGAAGCCATGAATCCATCTTGCCTTTCTCGCACTATGCAAGGGTCTGGTGGGAGTATGATGATATGGGGCAGGCATGGAAGTTGTGCCCTGGTGTTTGAGGGTAAACAAACAGCTATAAGGTACCTCAATATACTGGCAGATCAAGTGCATCCTGCAATGTTGGCAACAGATACTTCATGGATGATAATGCAACTACATCATGACAGAAGTTTTCAAAATTGGTTTGCTGACCATAGGTCTCACTTCCAAAACTTCCCTGGGTACTGCATAGCCTGGATCTTAACTCCATAGAAAATGTGTGGGATATGGTGAAAAGACACATTCTACAGAACTCTCCTCTTCCATCTAATTTACAAGATCTAAAATGCTGCTTAGCCAATACATGGTATTCTCTGGACATAAACTCACTCCAGATGCACATAGACTTGATTCCCAAATGAATCAGAGCAGTTATCCATGCAAAAGTTGGTCCAATAAAATATTGATCTTGGGTTTCTAATTCATTAGCCAGTGTAAGTAACCACAAATGCTATGTTGCATTATATTTAAATTTATCCCTATGATGACCTTTATGCACACTTTATCCACCTTTTCTATAAATCATACATTTGCTGATAATATGCCATTTTACCATCATTAACTGACTGCAATATTGTGCATTTCAAAATTATTAGAAAATATTAATTTTTTATAATTATTTTAATATGAAATGCTTCACAAATAACCTTGGGGAGGTTTATAAAATAACAGCACTTTAACTGTTAAAATTACAGTTGAGTTTCATTTACAACACCTGAGAGTGTTAAAGTAAGTTTATTTAGAATTATGCCATTCAAATGGCAAAGCATCATTGATAACCTGCTAATATGAGAAGAGATTTTTCTTGCATTTTGTACTGTCTTGAGAGAAAGGCAGATAAAGAATTTTACCCATATTATTTTATGCAGGTTCTTTCTGACAATTTAAAAAGCTTTGACTGATGTTTGGGCAGCTAAAATTATTCAGTGAAAACCATTTGAGACAAAAATTTCTTTTCTGTCAAATGCACTGTAAATACATAGGTATAATGAAAGCCTTAAAAATTATAAAAGTACCTTTTAAAACGTTTTAAAAGAAAAAGGATCTCAACAAAGAAAGAAGGTAATGAACTAACAAGTTTCAAAATCATAAATTTTAAAGGAAAGCAATGCACTTTGAGACATTCTTAGTGAAATACATACAAAACATAACAAAACATGTACAAAATAAATTAATTAAATTTTTAAATCATTTAAAAGTATAGCCAAAAAAAAAGAGGATAAAAGTTTCTAATATAGCAACATCTGTTAACAGTTGTACATACTAATGGTTACACATACCTATCAAAATCCTGATTTTTATAATGAAAATCAATAATTGAAATTTTTGTTTAATATCCCAGTTTTTAACTGAATTACTTTTATTAAAAAACCTAAGCACAGATATTTTGATTGTGGTCAACAGTTTCACCCTTTATGAAATCTGCAGTAACTAATAATCATATTATCAAGCTATCAGCAGACATAAGACTTAAACATCAAAATCAGCACCAAACAAGATTTCTTCACTGTTCAATGACCTGAAAACCAGATGATGCCTTTTTGTAATTAGATCAGTCTCTGATCTACTTTCAGATGGAAACTACATCTGAAAATCTAAGTACGAGTAGTATAGTATCTAAGTGAGAAAATATTTTTTTGTGACAAAAATTGATTCCACATATTTCAACACTGATTCTGACTTGCTTTTATAAAAATTATAGTAAAAGGGAAAATTTTTGTAATAATCTAACATACCATTTAACAATTCTTATTAATATATATATTGTAGGGTTTATTTAAGTTTTTCTAATAATTATTTTTATTTTAGAACAAGCGTTTCCTTTACCGTCTCATTTTTCACCTACGCCTCCCTGCTAGAATGAGTTTTCAGAATTACGCTTCATGTAAATAAGGTAATAACCATATTTCAACTGAAGTCTGGGTCACTTTACTAGAAAAATGTAAAAGAGCATATTCTGCTTTCCAGCCACATTGTTGCTGCTAATCTAATCTTAGTGTTATTTGGCCGTCTAGTGTTATCTGGCCGTACTGTTATACGCCTCCTAGTATATGCTGGTATGGTATCTTAAATAAGGGTCAACTCTGTTAATTCTGTGCAGCTTTGGCTGGTTTATTTTAGTTAGTATTGGGTTAGTTTCTTATTTTCTATCTTGAGTCAAAGCCCAAGTGGAGGCTTAT